CCAACAACCACATGGGCGCCGCCGCCACGACGGCGAAGCAGCCCCTGGCGGAGGTGGACATCAAGAACGAGATCGGCGTGCTCTACGGCGAAGAGGCGCAGCAGGCCTTCGCCGCGGCCAAGAAGGGCGACGTCGTCGCGTGGCCAAAGGCCCAGGCCTACGCCGAGGCGCACGGCCTGCTCGATCCCAAGGCCGTGCTGTTCAAGAACCTGAGGCAGTTCAAGATCGCCCGCGAGCAGATCGAGGCCATCTACGACGAGCACTTCTCGGGCGCGGTGCGCGACATCCCGTGGCGCGGCGAGGACCTCGGCGACGACTGGCGCCAGTGCGCGCTGCACGGCGCGCCCGCGGAGACGCTCGACGAGCTATACGCGGTCGCGGAGAAGGCGTTGCTCAAGTACGGCGAGGTCATGACCGCCGCGTGCCCGAGCGGCGCGGTTCTGAAGCTCGCGCCGCTCAAGGGGCTCGCGCGCGCCGCGGCCAAGGCGCGGAACGAGTACGCGAAGAACACGGCGCCGGCGACGTCGTGGCTTTTCGACGTCGTGCGCGGCTCGGTCATGTGCGCGACCGAGGACGAGATCGTGCGGTTGTACGCGGCGCTCGACGAGGACCCGCGCGTCGACGTCGTGCGGACCAAGAACCGGTTCAACCCGCCGTGCTTCAACGGCTATCGCGACATTTTGATGAACGTGGCGGTGCGCGTCGAAGGCGACGCGGGCGAGGTTTCGCACCTCTGCGAACTCCAGATCCACCACGCGCCGATCAAGGAGTCGGAGCCCATGCACAAGAGCCACGTGACCTACGAGTTCTTCCGCGAATTCTTCCTCGGCAACGCGGACGCCGTCGAGGAGAGGCTGAACATGCTCTGCGCGCTGCCCGTCGCTGACGCGGAGGACGTCGAGGACCTCGTGGATCGCGTGCTCGGCTCCGACCGCGCGTCGGACACGAAGCTGCTCGGCGAGCTGGCGGCGCTGCTCGAGTCGATCGCGGAGCACTCGAGCGCGGTCCGCGTCCGGGAGAAGGTTCTGGAGATCAAGGAGCGCGAGTTTGGGCCCGACCACCGCGAGGTGGCCATCACGCTGAGGATTCTTGGGAACGCGTACGGCTCCCTTGGCGACTACGCCAAGCAGCGCGAGCTCCTCGAGCGCGCGCTCGCGATCCAGGAGCGCGAGTACGGCCGCGACCACGTCGAGGTGGCCACCGTGCTGATGAACCTCGGGAACGCGCACGGCTCCCTCGGCGACTACGCCAAGTCGCGCGAGCTCTACGAGCGCGCGCTCGCGATCGAGGAGCGCGAGTACGGCGGCGACCACGTTCAGGTGGCCAAGACGCTGCACAACCTCGGGAGCGCGCACGGCGACCTCGGCGACTACGCCAAGCAGCGCGAGCTCCTCGAGCGCGCGCTCGCGATCGAGGAGCGCGAGTACGGCGGCGACCACGTTGAGGTGGCCAGCACGCTGGGAAATCTCGGGAACGCGTACAACTCCCTCGGCGACGCGGCCAAGTCGCGCGAGCTCTACGAGCGCGCGCTCGCGATCGAGGAGCGCGAGTACGGCCGCGACCACGCGGAGGTGGCTGTGACTCTGGCGAACCTCGGGAACGCGCACGGCTCCCTCGGCGACAATGCCAAGGCACGCGAGCTCCTCGAGCGCGCGCTCGCGATCAAGGAGCGCGAGTACGGCCGCGACCACGCGGAGGTGGCTGTGACTCTGGCGAACCTCGGGAACGCGTACAACAGACTCGGCGACTACGCCAAGGCGTGCGAGCTCTACGAGCGCGCGCTCGCGATTTTCGAGCGCGAGTACGGCCGCGACCACGTCCAGGTGGCCAGCACGCTGGTGAACCTCGGGAACGCGTACGGCGACCTCGGCGACGACGCCAAGAAGCGCGACCTCCTCGAGCGCGCGCTCGCGATATTCGAGCGCGAGTTCGGCCGCGACCATCCGCACGCCGCGCTTTGCCGAAGGTTGCTCGGGGGTTGAGGGGGGCAGCAAGTGCATTCGTAAGGCCGTCTGGCTTTGCGAAGATCAGCCGCTAGACCGCCGGACCTCGACGGCGAACTGCGACGAGCAGCTGCGCCGTCCACGACCTCGACGTCCGGGACTTGCGGCCCGTACTGCAGGTCTAAACCAGCCACATGAGCCAAAAAAGACCGGCCACACTTCGTCAGATGGATGCGCTGCGCGGCCGCCGCCCTTGTCACCTGCGTCTCGGAAAGCGAGATGACTGTGGGGCGCACCGCGGGACGCGCGACCACCGGAACGCAGCGTAAGCAAAAGGAAGGGTTAGGCGAGGAGCTGGGACGGCGGCTCGGCCTCCTCGAGGATGGGCGAGCAAGCGGCGCCCGG